ACACCATACCACACCACCACACACAACACACTCCACACACAACAACCACACCCAGCACCACACCCAACACCCACACACCCACCACCCATCCACCACACATACACTCCACACACACCAAGCACCACACAAAACCACACCACAACACACACAACCACCCAACCAACCCAACCGACACACACACAACAACCCACACCACACACACAACACCACCCCAACAACAACCACCACACACCCCACACCAACCCACACAACACCACAAGAACACAACACCAACACACCACACCACACACAGCAGACACCGACCACGCACCACCACCACATCACCACTACAACCCCACAGCAGACCCCCACACCACCACCACACACACCACGCACACCCACCACCACACACCCACGATCCACACCACACACACCACCACACCAACACACAACACTACCCACACAGCACCAACACACACCAACACCCACACCCCACCCACCCACACACCACCACACCACCACACACCCCACCACACATACACACACCCACCACACACCCACACACCCCCACACCACACAACACCACACCTCACCCCACGCACACACACCACACACACACCCAACCAGCACACATCCCAACAAGCTGGACTTGGACACAAAACCTCTCTCAACCTCTAGTCACCCCACCATATTCACCAAGATGCACCACCACTGGACTCCTACTTCTTACCAAGGTGTTGGAACCACCCCCCTTAGCAACGGAACAAACATTCACTTCTCAACAGACTTGGTCGGAAAAACACCCATTACCCATGCGATTTCCTTCAGGACGTTCCACGCTCTCAGGCTTTTTCCAACTGGCTGGGCGTAAAACACGAGCTCCCTCACCATTAAATGGCAAAAATGTGTCGATGGTTAGGTGCTAAACTTAATTTCAATTGGTTGCGCTTCTGTTTAACGATACAATAAACTACCTTTATAGTACACCTTGCCCGAAAAAACCAAACAACCCACCACCCCATCCAAACTCACACACACATCCACCAGACCCCCACACACCCCAACACCCCCAAACAGCCACAACCCACACATCCCACACCACACAGCACACACCCACACACACCACACAACAACCCAGCGCACAACACAACCACACCACCCCACCACAACAAAACCACCACACTCACACCACACCCCAACACACCACAACACCCACAACCACACGGAAACAACCACCACCACAGCACACAACACCACCACACACCACCAACCAACCACCGGAACAACCACACACACCAGCACCACACCACACCCAACACACCACACACACACCAACGACACACCCACACACACCACCCCACCACATATGTGAAAAATATTAAAAAGTACTCACAGACATATAATAATTTAAATTAACTCATAAACAGGTTTAACAGCACAGGAGACCAGAATAAAGAGATGTAAAGAAATTATCAATATAAAAGCACAGAGAAACAGAAAACATGAGAGGGAGGTAAAGACCTGAAAAGTACAGTGAAAGGTCTAACATATATCTAATCAGAGTTTCTGAAGAAGAGGGAGGAGAGAATAGAGCAGGCTAAATATCTAAAGAGGCTGAAAATTTTCCAGAAGCTATAAAGACATCAATCCATTGAATCAGAAAACCAAGCAAAATAAATAGAAACTGGAATAAAAGAAATTCAGCCTAGCTAAATCATGATGAAACTGCAGAGCACCAAAGACAAAATCTTAAAAGTAACCATAAATAGACAACTTAAAAGGAACAGCTGGATTTCTCAAGAACAATGGAAGTTAGAAATTAGTGGAATAGTATTTTCAAAATGCTGATAGAATAGCTGTCATCCTAGAATTGTGTACCCTCCAAAACTTTTTTTGTTTGTTTGTTTGAGACAGAGTTTCACTCTGTTGCCCAGGCTAGAGTGCCTTGGTGTCAGCCTAGCTCACAGCAACCTTAAACTCCTGGGCTCAAGCAATCCTCCTGCCTCAGCCTCCCGAGTAACTGGGACTACAGACATGCACCACCATGCCCGGCTAATTTTGTTGTATATATTTTTAGTTGTCCAATTAATTTCTTCTTATTTTTAGTAGAGACGGGGTCTCGCTGTTGTGCAGGCTGATTTTGAATTTCGAGCAACCCTCCCACCTCAGCCTCCCAGAGTGCTAGGATTACAGGCGTGTATTATCTACTTTAAAACAAATACAATTTCTGAAAAAAACACAATGATATGACACATAAGGGACATTTAAATGTCCCCTAATCTTCAAAACTATTAATGTATATGGAAAGAGATAACGGCTGTAAACTATAAATCTTTCCTCTAGCCATAGGGAGATCTGCCAAAATTCTTGCAGTATCAACTGAAAGAATATATCCTTAGGAGATAAGGGTTTCTTCAGGGACACTTTACACTGATTAGTGATCCAAAGCTTTTCCCGGGCATGCTGTACCTGGTGCCCAACTGTTTCCTGTCTAACCGTCACTTGTGCCTTCAGCTCACTAAAATGGGAGTTAGGCATGGACCTAAATTTCATCTAAGGGACTCTAGACCTGCATTGTCCTGCTCCAATCTCCTCCTCAGGTTGGCTTCTCATCCTCTGTGGCCAAAATGTATCCCGTGTGGTGAGGAGACACTGGAAGCTGGTGTCCAGGTCCTCCACGCTGCTGCTGCTGTGCTCCCTGTCGAGTCCTTCATAAAACATAAGGAAACCCGGCGCTGGGCGAGCCTGCAGTGCCTGTGAGCTTGAGTAGGTGGAACCTGAAACCCACCACGGTGGGTTCCAGTATGGCAGCAAAGGACCACAGCATCTGTCTTTTCATAGCATAGTTAGCCAAAATAATAATGAGCTACCTATTAGATGACCAGGGAACCCAAGAAAAAAAGTGTGATCTTTAAAAAACCAATGATGGCATTTAGCTTCACAGTGCCGTGGTTACCCACTTAGTTAACGGACATTAGTTACAGATTGCTCACAGCAAATAAGTGGCGAATAAGGAAGGAAGTCACACAAGCACTTACAAAGATTTTAATAAGAAAAAATGTTTTAAATAACTGATTTGGTAGAATTATACTTTATGGGTTAAACAGGTTTCAGTTCAGATTAATTTAATTAGGCTTCCTAGTTTTTTAAGTTCGTGCCATTCTATAGAGCATAAATAGTAAATGCTTACACAATGCACTTCATTTGAAATGCTTTAAAATACATAACACGATTCGCACACAAAACAATGTATTATGGTCTCAGGAACACGTTTACAAAACACTATAATGAGAAATTAACAGTCTTGAATAAGTGAATATACTACTATATAAACACTTGATCAACAAATGACGTTTTAAACAGAGGAAGCAAAAGCACAAGCAATGTCAAGTAGTGTTATTCTTTAGTTGTGCTACGAGAGATTGAAAAACAAATTTTCAAATTCTAGTAGTGGTATGAAAATTAAGTTACTTTCTAAACTAGATTAAAAATAGTCGTTAGAAAATTTTGACTTTCCAGTTGGTGACAGGAGCAAAATATGCCAAGAGTGCAAATCACAAGCGACGCGTTTCCTGCAGCTCTGTGATGATGCTGGTCGGTGCACACGTGTCATGAACTGGCCTTTCTGGCCCAATGACAAGTGCAGAAAAATCTCGATTCTTATAAGGATCTCACGTGAACTCTAAGAACAAGTATATTCAACAACAAAAAACCTGTACACTTTTTGTTTCTTGAAAAAAAATAAATAAGATTTTTAACCTAATAAGAGAATATCCATTTTTAAAAGTCTCAGTCGCATTTTTCTTCCTTTTCAGCTGAAAGGATGAAGCACAATGGCCACAACTTTGTTACAGACTAAAATCCAACAGGTAATTCCAACACCACCTGAAAACAAAGAAATCCAACATGAGAGAGCATGCCAGCAGCACTGCCCACACTGCCTGCCTCTGCTACCTTTAACTTGCAGGAAATAAGGGTATTTCAATTCCTTTTGAGTCCTTCGAAAGACTAAGTTAGTGTTTTGTCGGTCCGAAATAGTCAGACTTTCTATAGCATCACAGGGCTGTGTTCTTTCCTAAGCAGGAATTACACTGAACAATAGATACTGGTTTGAATTTCCCTTTCCTGCCAGAGAGATGTGTATTACTATTTATGATATTAACATTATAAGGCCACCCTGTAAGACTACTTATTTTTCCTTCCTCAAAGAAGCATTATAAACAAGGCAAGGTTTGCCCATGCCTTTCTTGCCCCGCTGACGATGGAGAGACACCTTCACCCGCTGTCCGCAGGCTTGAGAGTGGCCCATGGGCTCTGCAGGAGGCTTGGAAGGGCGGCCTGTTGCTCCTTTGGTCAGCAGCGCAAAGGCCCTGGCCTGGGCCCAGCTGTGTCACAGGAAAGGGAAGCAGAAGGGGAGGGGACGGGGGTCATGGCTAAACTGTAAGTCTTTGAAACAGTCATTGCTTGCGACTATTAATTAACCTCCAGCATAATCAAAAATTACAGCCGAAGACCAACTGATACAGATGTGTGCCACAGCATTATCTTTAATACCAAATGTTAGGACCTAAATAAACATCCCTCATCAGGGAAATCAGCAAATTACGACACATTCAAATGAAGAAGAGCTATTAAAAATTCCTTAATAAAGAAGTTTATTGATATGGTGCTATGGTCTGAATGTTTGTATTCCCCCCACCACCAAATGTATACGTTGCAATACTAACCACCAGTGATGGGACTAGGGGGTAGGGCCTTTGGGAGGTGATTAGGTGACCAGGGCAGAGCCCTCATGAATGGGATGAGTGTCCCTATAAAAGAGGCCCAAGGGAGCTCGTCCTTGCCTTCCTTCCACCATGGGAGGACATATCAAGAAGGCACCACCTATGAACCAGAAAACGGGCCCTGATCAGACACCAAATTTGCCAATGCCTTGATCTTCAACTTCCCAGCCTCCAGAACTGTCAGAAATAAATTCCTGTTGTGTATAATCTATGGAGTTTATAATATTTCATTATAGGAGTCAGAACAGACTAAAACGTGGGAACAGGCTTACACTATAAAGTAAAAAAGGGGTATAAAATTACACGTGCTAGATGACCTTAACTATATCAAAATAAATGTGAAAAAAAAAACCCTGCAAAATATATCATAATATTATGGAAATGGAATGGATAAAAGGGATTATCCATAGCTAATAGGATTTTTAAAAAATTATTCCTCTATTTCTAGGCATTCTACAATGACATGTACTACTTTTCATATCCAGAAACAATTACCTTTCAAAAATAAAAGAATGGCCAACAGCAGCAAGTACTGCAGAGAGGCCAACCAGAATAAGGATTGAAAAGATACAGAATTTGGGAACTGCAGGTGGTATTTCAATAAATGGGGTGTTGGTCATGGGTTCGGGAAATAGACCTGGGACTGAATTCTAGCTCTACTCCTTCACATTCTGGTGACACTGGGCAAGTGACTTCTCTAGACCTCATTATCTTCACTGCAAGCCTCATGTGAGGCTGAGACACGAAGCCCTGCTCACTAAGCGCAGGTGAGGGTGATGCCAGGCTAACTTAGTCGTCTACCACACACCTCTGCAGAAGCCTATCCATACTCTTCCACCATACTTCCCAGAAAATTAATTCTTACCTGCTACCCTAGTAGGAAAGGCTACCAGCCGGTCTAGTGGGGTTATCCATTTGCTTGGCACAACAGCCACAGGGACAGAATAGTACTTCCAGATGAGCGAGATCATCAGAGCAGCCTGGAAAGACACGTCTGGTGAGTGAAAAACCGTCAGCTGCACAACCAGTAACCACAGAAAGAAAGATGGGGCCATGTACAAAGAAAACTGAGGGAACTCTCCAGATGGAGGACCTCAAGCCCAGCAATCCAGTCCTCGCAGGCAACAGACACACATGCCCAGCTACTAATTTCCATTGTTGAAACCTTGAAATAGAAGTCTAATTAAAGACGAGCTCACGAGGATCTCTGGAACACACTGCTGACAAGTGGGCGAGCATTCTTACAGGAACTGGTATTTTACTGTTTTAGTATGACCTGGTCTCTACACAATTTAAATTAGCTGAAAAATTAAGCAAGGTCTCCCATAACATATTCTTTTCTGATAATCTCCTTTGGGTAGCCAGACCATATGCTACATACACCTGACTAGTGACAAAAGCCATCTTCCACTTTTAAGATCCTTAAAAAAAGTTAATTCTTCCATGCACACGAGTGTTAGTGTCAGCACACATGCGCAGAGGTGAGCTCTAAGGTCCAGATTAACTGATGCTTAGGTTCCTGTCCTTTCCCCCGCAGTGCTCCTTCAGCTGTCTTCTGTCCCCTCGGGGCCTGCATATGCCACTCAAATAAGACCCTCAAAGAGAGCAGCTGGCTTAATTGCTGTGTCTCTGGGAAACCTGTCTCATATTAACCGACAGTGTCTCAGGATCGATTTCCTTAAATATACCTCAAAACCTGGGCTTTTGGGGGGTTGACCTGAATCCTTTCCCTCAGGAAAGATCACACATAGTACTGACACTCACAGGCCATTTAAGCAAGCCACTAAAGCATGCGCACAGCAGCACGGGCACACCCTCGAGGCATAGCAGCTGCAGACGAAGCAATAGTTCCCTGGGCAGTCAAACTAGTAAACACCCCCCAGATAATAAGGATGGGAGCCAACTTCAATGAGAAAAATTCGTCTCTAGCTGGAGAGTAGAGTGTGCTGTTTAAGCACAGCAGGTAACAAGTAATGACCAATATTATTAAATATCTTAGAAAATACATCAGTAAATGCTGCTCGCCTTAAAACTGCACTGGAATAAAGGCAGTATGAGGCCGGGCGTGGTGGCTCACGCCTGTAATCCTAGCACTCTGGGAGGCCGAGGCGGGCGGATTGCTCAAGGTCAGGAGTTCGAAACCAGCCTGAGCGAGACCACGTCTCTACCAAAAATAGAAATAAATTAATTGACCAACTAAAAATATATATACAAAAAATTAGCCGGGCATGGTGGCGCATGCCTGTAGTCCCAGCTACTCGGGAGGCTGAGGCAGTAGGATCGCTGAGCCCCGGAGATTGAGGTTGCTGTGAGCCAGGCTGACCGCCACGGCACTCACTCTAGCCTGGGCAACAAAGTGAGACTCTGTCTCAAAAAAAAAAAAAAAGGCAGTATGAAAGACCTCCAAGAAGTTACTTTAGAGTTGAATTGCCAACAAGTCCCCATCTTTAACAACTCTCACCAAGGAAAAGGCTTTCTTTTAGTCTAACTTTTAAATTCGCAGTGTGTGCAGACTTACACGCTGGCAGGACCAAACGACACAGCAGCTTAAAGGGGAAAAGCCTGAACTCCCAGCCCCAGCTTCCACAGGCCACAGGCTTCTGCGGCCCTGTCACTGCCAACTCTGATGACCCCACGTGACGCTATGGTACACTTACCTGCAATACGTAGAAAGCAACACTTATAACCCATTTTATCTTGGCTAACTGAGCTGTCCGTGCTTTCACTGAAAGGAAAAAAAGGATAAAATAATGTCAGTCCTGAAAAAATTAAGAAAATATTCAAGTATACACAAATGGTATTTTTTCCTTTACAAAATGTTTTCTGATTATAAATGGAACAATCGCTCAATATATTTAGAAAAGACAAAATAGAATTTTTTTAGAAGTCATCTACTATCTCACTATGCCGTTATTTAAAACAGAATCCCACTCAAACTGTGAGATTTAAATAGCTTTAATTTTGAAAACCCTTAAAATGATTCATCTAAATCAGAGATTCTTTTTTATAATGCAATTACCACTTACAAACAGGACTAAATAGTCCTACTTCCCAGTCTACATGCACATGAACCCCCAAGTGGGAGTCCAGCTTGCCCCAGCTGGACAGGCCCCTGTGCACGCTCTCCTGGCCGCGGAGACAGCTCTCACGGGCGCACACCCGTGGGGCCTCTCAGCACACAGACCGCCCTGGGAAAATGTCTTCACCACAGGAGACTGCACCTTGAAGTCTACACTCCAATAAGGACACTGCTGGGCATTTTGTACACAGTGGAACAAAAGCCCCTGGAAATCCACTATAAGATTTTTTCTCTCTCAGAAAAATGAATTTCGAAATGAAAACCTACAATAACAAGGTGCCTCTGAAGAAAATCTAACAGGATCCTAGGTGTTTCTGTGTTCAGAAAGCAAAGGTTCACCAGCAAATAAACAGAAAATAATCATTGTCATTGGGTTTCTTCTAGACAACTTAAAGATTCTATCAACATTTAAAACATCCAAGAAGTAAAGCATATATTATATGAATCTTTATATGAAGACTTTGATATTAATCAGCTCTTATGAAGCTTTCTGGGCTACAACTGACACCAGTACCATCAGGTGGGGTTTTTTTTGCTTTTTGGTTTTTTTTTTTTTTGGTGAGACAGGGTCTTGCTATGTCACCTAGACTGGAGTGTAGTGGCATGACCACAGGTCACTGCAACCTCCAACTCCTAGGCTCAAGCAATCCTCCTGGCTCAGCCTCCTGAGTAGCTAGAACTACCATGCCTGGCTCATTTTTAAAAATTTTTTTGTAGAGATGGAGTTTTGCTGTGTTGCCCAGGCTAGTCTCAAACTCCTGGGCTCAAGAGATCCTCCTGCCTCGGCCTCCCAAAGTGTTGGGTTTATAGGCATGAGCCACAGCATGCAGCCAAGTACCGTGAGTTTTGAGCTTATCCGTCATCTTGTTAATCTTCCTTTCCAGCCTTGCGTATCTGGCGAACTCGTCCATCATGTTGACCGTGGAGAGCTCCTGCTTCATGTCCTGGATCTCTGCTCTCATCTGTGACTCCTGCTCTGCGTCCTTCTGCAGCACCCTGGACATCTGGCAGAGTAGACAGTTGGGATCAGTGCCTTCCCACATCAGGTAAAGAGGGAAGTCCCCCAGTCCCCACCCCCAACTTTCTTTCCCAGAGTGTTAACCGCTCTGTGACCTGGCCAGCTGCATGCTCTCCCTGCAGGCTTGAACCCAAACTGGGGCCCTGAACATCCCCAGGTGCTGATAAAGAGTTTAGGCTATTGTTTGAAAACACTCAGAGATTAACCCTGTTGCTAAACAGGTACAAACTAGCCCCTGCCTTGAGCCAAATTCCTTAAAACCTCTTAGGAACTCCATAACCCAACCCCTTTGTGGTGTACATACCTAGGTAAATCATCCCTTTCTCTATCTATTGTGAGGACCGCTGCAATACTTTGTAAATTCCCCTAATAAATGCTCTGGGCTATCAACCTGGTGTTTGTGCTTCTTTCTTTGGAATCCCAGCTGGCCCCAACTCTGGTCAGACTGCAGCAGTCCTTTGAGGGACATCCCTACCTCACTATTTTAGAGGCGACTCCAGCACAGGTTTGACACCACAGAACAGGTATACCTTCCTCCAACATCCTATTGCTGCTCCTTCCAACTGGGAAGCTGCCCTTTACCTACACAGCCAGCCTCTGCGGCCTGTTCCTGCTGCCTACAACTGGCCCACGCACGCACACGTGCATGCACACACACACACACTCCCTCACATTTGAATTGCAATACAAACTATATTTTTCCTTTTTCAGATATGCTCATGAATTACTACAGTACAGATGGATGTATCCATCACTGTAACTAAAATTGAGATTATAAAATGAAAACCATCTACATCGCCAGAGCCGTCATTCAAGGGAACATGCATCCTCTTCTCTTCCTGAAGAATTCAGTCCTACATTAGATGGGGCAGAGCAAGGTGGGGTGCAGGGTGCCAGTGATGAGGTGGTGGCCCAGAGCAGGGTGTCAGAGCCCAAGGACAGCAGGGAGGGCCTTCCTGGAGGGGCACCCTGGCAAGAGGAGTCAGGGCCATGCACAGTGGTATAGGAGACCTCAAGAAAGGGCCGCCTTTCTGACAGGGGAGGCAGAATCCAAGCGGTGAGGGGCATGGGTGCATCAGACAGAAGAAGGAACCCTGCCAAACAGTGTCAGAGCCCACGGGGGGCTGGGCTGGTAGGGGTTGGCGGTGAAGACAGGAGATTAGATACAAAGGCCTGGTCCTATCAAGTAAACACACTGAGGATAACGGGAGCCAGTCTTCCAACAGTCAGAGAGGTAGACCTATGCGCCGGAGAGAACCAGAATGAATCCTGTGGTATTGGCTTACAACCGAAGGTGAGGGTGTGAACTCGTGGTTTCCTACCGACAGAGAAATAAACACTGACGCACATGTATGTAAAGAGGCGCCCTCCCTGGTGCCTGTGGGGGAAGGGCCCCTCTTCCCGACACCTGCCAGTCCCCTGTCCCGGGACAGTCTCCGGGCGGGCCTCCGGCAGTCCCGGCGCTCAGGAGACGAGATGACGACGGCCACCAGGCGGCGCCCGCCAGCCGCCGGGAAGGGCCTGGGTCCCTGCACCGCGAGGGTGTCGGGGCACCCGGAGGGCTAAGAAAACCCGGGGAGAAAACCCGCGACGTGCCCAGAGTGATCGGCGAGCACCCCGGATCGCAGTCCTGCAATGAGACGCGCTGAGAACTCAGCCCTGCCAGACAGCAGGCCCGCCCGCGGTGGCCGCTCTGCAAAATCGGAAATGACAGTCCTGCGCGTCGAGGAGAGACCGAGCAACCCCCAGCCTGCAGGAGACCGGAGACCGGACGAGTAACGCAACGCATGGTTGGTTCCGATGTGGGTCCCTTTGCTGGAAAGGACGCTACTGGGACCCACGGAAAACCCGAACGGGACTAAGGACTTGACGGCAGCGAAGTACTTCACGGCCACATCGCGAGCAAGGCCGCAGTTTACACACCAAAGCACCCGGGAATGCGGGGCTCGGGTTGACAGGTTACTCTCAAACGGTTCAGGAAACAAAATCGTTTCTCTGTACTGTACGCATAACTTCTCTTTGTGTTTGTTTTGGAATTTTAAAAATAGATTAATAAAAAAGCTGAAGGGGTATAAGAATCTAAAGAGTACCTAGCACACAGCAAGTGCACAGTGAGTTCGTCCCCTCCCGCCTGCTGCACAGTTAGGGCAAGTCATCTGCTAGAGCTGGGAAGCCAGCCCCGCCAGTCCCCGGGGACCCGCAGAGGCTTCCCCTCCCCCAGCGCCTGCGCCAGGAGGCCCCTAGCTTGGGGGTAGGACTGGGGGAGGGGAAGATTCCGGCGGGCCTCCCGCAGGGAGTCGAGGTCTTCAAACCCAGCTCTTCGTGGTGCCCCTGCCTCCGCCTGATCATTACCAGTGCTCTAACTAAAGGAAACAGACTCCAGGCTGATCCCCCCTGGACAAAGAAATAGGAATAGGCCAAATGCTTAAAAAATTACAGAATCACCAGGCGTGGGGGCTCACAGCTGTAATCCCAGCACTTTGGAGAAGCCAAGGTGGGAGACTGCTTGAGGCCAGGAGTTCCAGACCAGCCTGGGTAACACAGTGAGACCCCAACTCTACAAGAAATAAAGTGGCCCAGCATGGTAGCGCTGACCTATAGTCTCAGCTACTCCGGAGGCTGAGGCACGGGGGATGGCTGGAGCCCAGGCCTTTGCGGTTGCAGTGAGCTGTTTAACTGCACTCCAGCCTGGGCAACAGAGCAAGACCTGGTCAAGAAAGAAACAGAGAGAAAGAAAGATAGAAAAGTAAATCACAGAATCATCTTTCAAAAGCAAGAATCTACAGCCACTACTTAAGGATTTTTTGATAATTTCACTGTATGCAAATTACACGAATAAGTCTGATTTTTAAAAGAAAAGGAGGTGAAAATATATTCACCGTTATAGAAAATATATAAAACAATTAAAAACTGAAAAGGCCAAAATGGTTACTCAGGAGTGGAAGGTGAGTGAGGGCAGGAGGGTGAACTTCAGATGAAAGGAACTGAGGGCAGCTTTATGGTGAAATCAGACAAATGGTGCTTGAAAAAAATGTTACATATTTAAGCATAATAAAAAATATTTTGAAGTGTTTAAGTTCACAAATATCAAATATGTACCAACGTTAATCTAAGAGCCACATATAAATAAAATGTTCTAGAATTAGGAATTGAAGCGTAAGATTTAATAAGATTTGAATCTAAATATAATGAAAATATTAATTTTTAGGAAACAAAATCAATCTCTGAAGTCTTTTTATGAACTCGAAAGCCACCTTCCAGACTATTAAAACTCACAGTTGACAGAAACAGATAAGCTGTGTAGGGTGCGGCCTTTCAAGGTCTTGGAGATAGGTCCACAAAGAATTCTGAAGCAGAAAATCAGTTTATAGAATTCTTATCAAGGTGACTCGGGCGGTGGAGAAGTCCAGAGAGTAAGAAGGACAGAATCAACCCTCCTGCCCACCCCGTCCGCAGATGCTGGCCGCCCGCCTGTCTGAGCTCCCAGTGACCTCTGCCACAGTCACCCTCCGATCCTGCTCAGGTCCGATGTCCTCCTTGCCAACAGGCAAAACGCCGAGGCCTGAGCTTGGAGGCACTCACTCTCCCCCTCCAGCAGTACTCACTGCTGACAACTCTCAGGGCCAGGCCCACGTGGAAATTAGCTGATGGCAGGGTGACACGTGCAGCCCACGCCCGTCCCTCCCTGGAATTCAGCGGCCAAGTTTGGGAACGACCAACTGAGGTCACCCGCTGGGGAGTGTCCCTGAACAAGGAGGATGGGTCCTCCAGCTTGGAAAGAAACTAAGGCCCCCGCATAGCTCCGGACCCTGAGCAGCCCCAGATGCCACTGCCGGCCCGGCTGAGAAGCGGGCACCTCCCCAGGCCAGCCCTCCGTCCCCCTTCCAGGCCCCGGCCCCTACGTGAGCGAACCCCCGACCGGCGGCCTGGCCTGCGCATGCGCGCTCCACCCCATGACCGCTGCAAAAGGTCTCCCCGAGGGTCCGGGCCAGGTCCTGCGACGTGGACTGTGTCGCTCCCCTCCATTTGAGGGCCGTCCTCGTGCCTGGCCCACAGTAGGGACCCACTAAGCAACCTCTCTATGACAGTGGGGGTGGGGGAATAAGGAGACGCCCACAGAGCCGGGTCCTGCAATGTCCGCCCCTCGCCTCAGACCCCTAGAGGCAAAGGGAGGTGGCCACTTTTTGGCGCAGAAAGTGAAAGATAATGTAGAAAGCGTAGCATCTAAAGATGGCGCCCACCACCCAAGCCCAGGAGGCGGCCTGCGCAGCGCCCATCGTCTGCCCGGGGGGCCGCAGAGGAGGAGCTCCTGGCGCCTGCGCAGTGAAAGTGGCCAGCCTGGACCCCCACCCGCACCAGTCCCGGAGCGCCTGCGCAGTGCGCCCGCCCTGCGCCTGCACAGAGCGGCTGCTCGCAGGCCACAGCTAAAGAAAAGTCTTGGATCGCTTAGTAAATGAATGAGGCTCTGTCATTCATGAGTTCTGTAACCACCTTGAAGAAAAGAAAGGAGGGACCCCCTGGAACATTTCAACCACGTCCACGTCAACACCAGGGCCTAAGTGTCCTTATACTGGCATCCCACTCCCACCCCAGTAGGCCGCCGAGACTGCCTTCTCCTAGGACCTTGCAAGGCTTTGCTGATACATATGCTACTTCAGAATTCCTAAAGGACCTCATGCCAAGGGGCCAGTGAGGCCTTGACTAATGGGATGGGTGTACTCCTTCCCGAGGTTCTGGCTGGACAGAAGTTTCAGAAACACCCTATAGGGAGTTATAATCTGAAGTACATTAGCCCCATCCACGGCACTGTATTCCCAATCCCACTTTCTGTTTCTTGTCACGACTCATCCACTTGATTCCTCAAATCTGAGGCTGTGATGGGGCAGCCTCTGATGATTGTGGAGGAGCAGCATTTTCCCCTACCCAGGACCAGCGTACCCCTTACAGCTTTTCACAGGCCCTCACCACAAACCCAGTGACCAGGCAAAACAGATCTCTTTATTACTTTTCCCTGTTTCAGACACCAACTACCAGGGCTGTATGCTGCTAGGATAATTGTGTTAACCTTTTGAACCTGGCTAACAGCCAATGTCACAACCAAGGGGAAATGGGCTATTTTGAGACAGAGTCTCACTCTATCTCCCAGGCCGGAGTGCAGGGGAAATGAGTGTTTAGGAAAGCTAACTGGTTTGAGGTTAGAGAAGCTATGCTATACAGCCTGAAGGAGGCAGCACAGGATGTGGACACAGGCCCAAGAAAAAGCCTAGTGCTCCTTTTACTAATGATTAATAGCCACCCCTATTCAAGCCTTGTGCATGTCTAGACTGTAGCCATAACCTCTTGTGACAGTGGATTAGCTACAGAGGAGGGGTTTGGTGTAGGCTTGGGGGTGGAGCCTGAGATGATGACAGGCCTTATTTATAGCTACTGCCTTTCATCCACTCCTCACATACACTCCACACACTCCTCACTCCCTATGAGCTACTGAGAAATTAATAACAATTCAGAAAGGAAGACAACACCAGCACAGCCTCTTTGGGCAAATGAGATGAGTTTCCTATAGCTGCAACATGAGGTAAAATGGGATGAGGGTACATAGAAGAATGCAAGTGATAATGCAAGAAGGATGCACAGGCAACTTAAAAAATGGGAGAAAATATTTGCAAATGATATATTAGTGAAGGAGGTTAATATCCAGAATACATAAAGAACTCCTAACTCAGCCGGGTGCAGTGGCTCACACCTGTAATCCTAGCTAACACTCTGGGAGGCTGAGGCGGGTGGATTGCTCGAGATCAGGAGTTCGAAGCCAGGCCTGTGCAGGAGCGAGACCCCATCTCTACTATAAATAGAAACAAATTAATTGGCCAACTAATATATATAGAAAAAATTAGCCGGGCATGGTGGTGCATGCCTGTAGTCCCAGCTACTCGGGAGGCTGAGGCAGTAGGGTCTTGAGCCCAGGAGTCTGAGGTTGCTGTGACTAGGCTGACGCCACGGCACTCACTCTACGCCTGGGAACACAAAGCAGACTCTATCTCAAAAAATAAAAATAAAAAAATAACTCCTAATTCAACAGCAAAAACCAAACAACTGGATTTAAAAAGGAGACAACAGACTAGACATTTCTCCAAAGAAGATATACAGACTGCCATAAGCACATGTAAACATGCTCAACATCACTAATTATCAGGGAAGTGCAAATCAAAACTAAAATAAAGATACAACTTCACACCCATTAGGAAGGCTGTTATTAAAAAATAAAACAAAAAATAACAAGTGTTGCACAGATGTGGAGCAATTGCAACCCTTGTGCATTGCGGGTAGAAATGTACAATGGTGTTGCCACTGTGAGAAACAGTCTGGTGGTTTCTCAAAAAAAATAAATATAGAATCACCATATGATCCAGCAATTCCACTTCTGGGTATACTCCCAAAATAATTGAAAGCAGAGACTCAAATAGGCATTTGTACACCAATGTTTTAGCAGCATTCTCTACAACAGTTAAAAGGTGGGAACAACCCAAGTGTCCAGAGACAGATGAAAGGTTAAACAAAATGTGGTAGATACATACAATGGCATATTACTCAGCATTAAAAAGGAAGGGAATTCTGACATATGCAACGCGGATGAACCTTGAAGATATTATGCTAGGTGAAGTGAGACAAAAAAAGACAAACACTGTTTGATTCCACTTATATGAGATCCCTAAAGTAGTCAAATTCATACAGACAGAAAAAAGAATGGTGGTTGCCAGGGGCTGAGGGAGGGAGGAATGGGGAGTTACTGTTTAATTGGTACAGAGTTTCAGTTGGGCAAGAAGAAAAAGTTCTGGGATGGTGATGGTTGCACAACAATGTGAATGTGCTTAATGTCATTAAACTGCTCACCTAAAAATGGTTAAGATGATAAATTTTATGTTATATATATTTTACAGTGAAAAAGAAAGAAAGATGTGCAGGGGCCAGCTCTTCAAGAGACATTTATGCAATGCTAAGGACCTGGGACATTATCTTAAAGACTAGACCACATGAGAAAAAGATTCTGAAAAGGGAGAGGGAGGTAAAAGAGAAGTCCCCATGCCTCAAGACAATGGGGATAAAGAGCTTTGAACAAAACAGGCAGTCCATGCTACGGGTAGAATAAAGCATAAAGAAGCAGAAGTCCCGCCTAGTCTTAAACACACTACCACCTCAGTTTATATCAGGAGAGAAAAGCAAGAACTGTTTTCCAGGATAACACATGCACCCAATCTTTGAAGTCTGTCTGAGCCATACAGTTCCTCATTCCTGCTGTGGGCTTACAGAGGGTGTCCTTCTCCCTGCGTTCCCTGCCCACCCCTACACCTACACCCCACCATGCTTCGTCCAGTTGGCCACCAAATCCATACTCACGAATCCCTATTCACTGCCTAGGCAAAATGCCCAGCAAAAAGAGAGTGCTCCTTGGAGCTTGCTGGTCTTTTGGACACAGAAAGCATCACACTGCACTGAGATTCCCTCTCTACACCTGTCTCCCCACCCCAAGAATGTGGGCTCCTGCAGCCTGGGATCCGCCTCTCCGGGACATGGCACCGTGGACACTGCACGCGAGGCCTCCGGGAAACGCCGGCGCCCTAGCAGCCAGGGCTGCTCGAAGGCCCCCAGCGTCCGGGGGATAACGGAAACGCGTGAGGCTGGCAGCGGGGCGCTGAGGCCTCACAGTCTGAAGCACGGGGCCGCCACCCGCAGCCGGAAGACTCCTGCCAGGTGGAAGCGTGGCCGATACTGCCAGGTATTTCTTCGCCCCCAGCCCCCGCCATCCCCAGGAATCCAGAAAGGCGGATTCGAGGGTAACGTTTTGCAGCTTTTACACGTTAGCGACTACCTCAAAGAAACCTTAAAACACAGAACAGACCAAGACGCCAATGCGGCCTGAGACCCCCTGTGTCCACGCCAGGCCCGCCCGGGGGACCCCAGCTCCGGCCCCCGGAAGGTCAGGCAGCCACTTACGAAGGAGGAGAAGGACGGGAGGAGGATCCTAAGGACATTGCACCCAAACACGAAGCTGAGCACCAGCAGCCACGCCCAGCGGTCGGCCTCTGCCGCGCTCATTGCGGCCGCTCCCGACAGCGCCTACACACCTACTACAGCGCCATGGGTAGCACACGGGTTGCCGCCCCGCGCCTGCGCAGTAGGGCCCAGCGCCTTCAAGGAGGCGCGCCGACGCGCCTGCGCGCTGCGCCGCTCCCGCGGGTAGGCGGGGCCATCTTTCCCTCCCGGTCCAGGTGAAGCGGTTAACGCGTTACGGCGCCGTCCCTGGCCTTCCGGGCTTCCGTAGTCGCCCCCAAGCTCATATCCCCGCGGAACCAGTTTTCCAAACTCGGTGGTGTGAGTACGAGTACCGCCGGCTGTCCGGTTTTGTCATAGCTGCGAACCATTTGTGTTGTTACTTAATTAGAATTTTATTTAAGTTGATTCCCTTTTATCCCTAAATAAGTTTATTGTAAAATAAACCCTTCCTGGGGAGTGGGCGGGGACAACAAAAAAATAAACAACATAAATAGAAAATAAGTAGAAAACTACCGTAATTATAGTAGCAGGTGATTGTAAAAAGAAATGTGTTTTCTAGGCAGTTATCATATGTAAAATGTCTTAAGTTTACATTTCGAAACTAAGCATGGCAGTAAAGCTAAACAATTTATACAACTGCATACCTGAAAAATAAGTTTATTAGTCAAAAGGAGCGGTTTACAATTGTCAACCTAAAAATAAAAGGGTCAGCATCTAGTTTAAAGAGAATTTATTCAAGTGCAAAGCTTGAGGTTGGTTACTCAGCACCGATTCCAAAGAATGAAGACAGTGTTCTGAAATGTATGGGTTTGGGATGTTTAATATAAACAAAGTTTAGGGAAGCTTAACAGAATTTCAGCATTTTTTTCTATAAGGCTTAATGCATAGTTACAATGATCTGATTAGCTGAGGTAGTCTTTTTCTTTCTGGAAAGGTATATTTAACATTCTGCACTGAAAATGTAACAGTCATGTGGTCTTTTGAGCCATCTGACCTAGGTTAGGTACAGGGCAATAAAGGAGGCAGTTAGGCCCAGTGCAGTGGCTCAAGCCTGTAATCCTAGCACTCTGGGAGGCGGGTGGATCGCTTAAGGTCAGGAGTTCAAAACCAGTCTGAGCAAGAGCGAAACCCCGTCTCACACTAAAAATGAGAAAGAAATTAATTGGCCAACTAAAAATATATAGAAAAAATTAGCCAGGCATGGTAGCGCATGCTTGTAGTCCCAGCTACTTGGGAGACTGAGGCAGGAGGATCTCTTGAGCCCAGGAGTTTGAGGTTGCTGTGAGCTAGGCTGATGCCACAG